CATAATGGGCACAGTCTGTCTCTTATACAGTGTTTTGTTTTCAAAGTGGCTTGAAGGAGAGAGGGGGTATAGCTCAGTGGGAGAGATTTGACTTCAGATCAAGAGATCGCTGGATTAAATCCAGATTCCCCTCCTGCTGCTCACATGGGTATCAGCGCATCCCTTTTCTTAAACACAGGCGTGCTGTGGGAGACCGTCCCAGCTGACACAGGATGAGAAGCTGCAAACACTCTTTAGCTCATCAGTCGGACCTCTGGAACAGGCAAAAGACCTCCTTTGTGCATTATGCCCAACATCCACCTATCTGTCTATCTCTTAGTGAAAAAGCTTAAAAAAACTACAAGCAATGTGATTCCTTGTCTTGGTTCGTGTTGGAAGTCGATGAATAAGGGTTATTTTAAATTGTGAATCATGCAAAACTGCTTGAATCCAGCAGGCTGGTGCTGGAGTCTACAAGGTCCCTCCTAAGGAGCTTCATTAAAACATTTCATGGCTGTTTGGTGCTTTAGGGTGGTTTGGTAGTTAGATAAATTGTTGGGTCACAGCTTTAGCTCATGTGTCCATCAACTTCCACATGCGCTCGAGCTGAACACTGAGCTATTATTCCGCAGAGTATAAATCCTGGTCATGGACAGAAAAGTCGCCTCTCTTTTACAGCAACATGCGGGTGTAAAGCTCTGACATGTGATATATGAGGTAGAGCTGCAGCATCTACTGGCTTTAGATTTATATCTATCTGCTGACCCGCTTATAAAGGTCTTCTCAGATCAACTCTTCCACATTGGAGGCATACGCGACCCGTCATTCTTAATGAAGTCAAATCATCCGCTTCCTGTCGCTATGACGCTTCCTGTTAAAAGTCCCTGAACAAAGTTTAGCCGCTGCCTGAGAAATCCATCTTTCATGTGGCTGGTTATAGGTCCGTGTCAGCCGCACTTCTCAAAACAAAGAGCACATGTGTCCATTTAATGCAAACCAGACCGTGGACTGACTGGGCGGAGAGCTATGAAAAATTGCTCTGAAGGGGGCTAGAGAGGACGCGGTGGGGGTTATTAGTGGGTTCGAAGGCATTAAGCCTCGTTCCCTCGTTTTGGCGTGACCCCGGCCGACCCGTGGCAGCCCTCGCCACAACAAAAGGGCCAAAGAGGTGAAAGCAGAAAGGAAGGAGATCAAAACGGGGAGAGTAAAATGTTCTGCTGCTGCTAATCTTTGATTTCCATTTAAGGATGTTTGGTTTCAGCATCCTTTGCAGTCAAATAATGGGTTTTCCCATTATAAGTTTACATCAGCAAATGTCAGTTTCCTGTAATTTCTGGGATGAAAAAGAAGTTTGAGCTTGTGGGTGTTCAAGACCTTTGATTGTTAGAATGATTGAAATCTGCAGTGGATCTAAGCAAGGCCACACAGTTGAATTAAACCTTACTTTCCTTTGGAAGTGGCGTTATAGTGGCTCTTTTGGTAAAAGTACTAATGCTAGTAAATGGTGACTCAACTGGTTTTGACTACAACTTCTTTACTCTACTGCAACACTTCATACAACTTGTTCCACTCAACTATTCACACAAGAAATTTTGTACACCTGAGTGTTTTTGATCTAACATTCACACTTGGACAAATGAGTCAGGAGCAACTTGGGGTTCGGTGTCTTGCCCGAGGATACGCTGGCATGCCAGGGATTGAACCACCAACCCTCCAAGTAATGGATGCCCTCCTCTACTTCCTCATCTTCAGCAGGTTTAGCTTCCAGTGAAGCATATACAAAACAACAACAAAACTATATGTTTTTTAACTTTTTGAAAACATTCTGACCTCAGGGTCCCATTTCAATACTTTCACAACACTTCTCTATTTTTATTTTTTACTTTTATTGACTTCTTTGTGAAAATATCTTTGATTGTTCTGCGATGTGTTTGCTTTTTATTTATCAGATTTGTTATTTTCAGGAACAGACTGTGTTTGTGTTTGTTTTAAAAATAAAACATGTTTCACAACAGAAGTGATGCTTTTCAGTTTGACACTTCAAAGAAGGCCTTTTGTAGACGGCTCAGTTTATCAACCGCTTCTTTCTTTCTTTCTTTCTTTCTTTCTTTCTTTCTTTCTTTCTTTCTTTCTTTCTTTCTTTCTTTCTTTCTTTCTTTCTTTCTTTCTTTCTT